ATAAAACCAACACGAACTATTCAATGGTAAATACATGTAAAATATACAAGCTCATGTACTTTTTATTTTTTTTGAAAGCTCTTCCAAAAATAAYCAAAAGACCTCCATCTGTTCTTGTCACCAAAGAAGGCGATAATGTGGTCATTCCGTCCAAAGCCTCTGGATTTCCTAATCCTAAAATCTCGTGGTACAAAGACAACAAGAAAGTAGACGATCGATTCTATGCAACTGGTGCTCTACGAATAAACAATGTCAAGTTCGAAGACCATGGGGTTTACTTATTGAAAGCAAAGAATTTCATTGGTCAAGCAGCAGCGAAAATGAAACTTGTTGTAAATGGTAATGCCATACTTTCAATATCGTTTAAATAAATAGTTTTTGCTCAGACAATGAGTATTTCAATTTAGCTGACTTCAATTCAGTTCTGATAACTGCATAGCTTATTTAGCCAAATATAAAATTCTTTATACGAAACTGCGACTGTGGTTGTCCAATAGCATTGAGGATAATCATTAATATACCATTTTCTTTAAATAGTTGCTCCACGTTTCGTGGTTCGGCCTTCGGTTTACGTCGCTGGTTATGAAAATTGGAACACAACCATCACATGCAATATATTTGGGTTTCCTCCTCCGCGGATCGWKTGGACRCGAGCAYTGCAAGACATGTCTAAGGAACGCCATGTAAAAACTGGTAACAGCCTTGTTATCATGAATACAAAGAGAGAGGATAAGGGACCCTACATGTGCAGGGGGAACAATAACCAAGGGAATGTGGTTGCCATGGTAGTGCTTAATGTTTATACTGTCAGTAAGTATCAATTGGATGCATGTATTCATCAATTTCTAGACGAAAGCTTTGAGACAACTGATCAAAGCATATAAACATTGTGCATTTGAAACAATTACCTTGGATAAATAGTTAGATTTTTGGCGATTGGTGGGCAATTTTCAACTAAAAGCTATTTCAGTACGCCACGTTATTTAACGGCCGTTTATTACGTATTGGTACGTACCGTCCGCTTATGCAACCGCGCGATTTAATCTACGTCACTAATATCGTTAATATAGTTAAAGAATTAACCTTAAGTTCACTAAAATACTTTGAATTAACACATATTTAATTTAAGGTGATTTGATCCTCAAGTAGATAACATAATTTTAAGGAAAAGACTTATCTTTTTATTATTTCACATGTCATTAACCTGGTTGAGCGAAATCATTTCATACAATCTCTAGCAGTTGTTGTTGCCATGGTAACCAAGCCACACCCGAAATACATAATTTTAAGGCACTGCAACATCTCTAACTCTTTTAAAAATTATTTGGCACACAATCCAAACTAAGGATATTTATTGTCAATCTATGCAATGAACCTTTAGAACTGCTATGCAATTGGCATCTATATAAAACGAACAAATAAACAAACAAAAAGTTGATAATTTTAGCCAACGTCTTTTGATAAAAGTCTACTGGACAATGTAACAATGTAAAGGTCTTTGAGGTTCATTGCTTTAGTACACTTTATGAAATAACTTTCATATTACGCACGCTCTGATTGGCCAAAAAGCCGTTGTTTGATGAGAGCATAATACATGCTCGCGTCATTTTTTTTCTCGGCTTTTTTTTCCTCATGAATATTTGAGCGCTTGTTATTTCATAAAAGCAATAAAAAACAGTTTTCCGTGCATTTAATTATACTCTGATGAAAACACTTGGGATGTGGAGAGAACACAAGAGAAGCTGGAAACCACTCCGCTTGTTTTTATCAGAGTACAATACACGGGAAACTGTTTTTTATTCCTTAAATCAATAATTATTCCTGTTCAATTTCATGCATTATATATAGATTTCTTCATGGAAAGTGCTGACGTACGGGATTTTCGCACGAGTTGGTGATGAATCTAAAATCGAACGAGTGAGCGTAGCGAACGAGTGAGATTTTAGATTCATCACCAACGAGTGCGAAAATCCCGTACAAAAGCACTTTCCATGATGAAGTTTGTTTATTATATACATACTGAGATTTTATAGCGTCTACTTGAGCGACTTTTGTGCATTTTAATGACGGTTTTGTCTTACAAACTCGCTTTAAGTTATTTGAGATCAAACTATGATACAATTTAAATGCTGAATTAGATAATTATAAATAAATCACATCAATAACTTAGTTTACAGTCAATTTTCATTCACTGAATATGACAAAAATAACGAAAAGCTACATTAGAGGAAAGTGCAACAAGCCTACAAACCTTAATCAATGAAACTGTTTACTTTCTATCGCCGTCGTCGCAAATCAACTTTTATGGACGCGTTTTATCCATATAATAGTGTTCTGTTTTCTATACTTCTGTTGAAGATGTTCAAGTACATCTAGGACTTATATCTAATACTGGGAAATTTGCCATATAAAATACAGCTTCTTTGAACAGTTCTACTGCTGGCGACGGTGGTTGACTTGACAAGCGTGGGTTTTAAGTTAGTTTGTGCTAGAACTGAGTGAGTTTTCGATGTGGTCTTGGGAAATATACTGGGAACATTTGCATTAATTCTTTTAGATGTCGATTAAAACTTGAAAATATATCTTAAGGACCTGCTGGTTCAGAAACTTTCAGTGTCTTTAGGCTTCACAATCATAATGAAGTCGCAGAGATGTCAGAGATGTATTCGTTCAGCTATTTGCTTTCGGTCTCTTGGAATTGGATTTCTTTGCTTAAGACTTTTTCTCTCGGCGGAAATTCATCGAGTTAGCTTTTCATCACTCGCCGTTTTAGCTGTTGAATTTCTGTTTTTCTCCTCACAATATTAGTTGTCAATTCACTTTCTAAAATGCCTTGTCTCTAGTCATAAGAAGCTTGAAGTTGTTGATTGAATTCCGTGGTACGTTTTCACAAGTCTTTCCTGATTGGACGAAACGCTTTTCGCACGTGTGAGAAATTCGTTTCGCTCCTATGATTGGCTAGTTAATATTTYRAAACRGATTTTCAAATAGAAATRTATGTGAGAAAATCTCAGTATGTATATAATAAATATAAATAACACATGACCTATATAGTGAGTGTTACTAAGCCACTTTAAAGTTATAGCTTTTTTTTGGCCGGGGGAGGGGGGAAGAGGGGTAATTTTTGGGGGGGATCATGCCACCTTAAATTCTTATAGAATTCTTGTCTTGAAGACTTTGACAAAAATTATGATATTTCTAGTTGCTCCAGCCATCGTACAATCCTCTCCTAATAATGTGACGGTGAACAAAATCTTGAGCCGCGTVAAATTAAACTGTTCGGCTACTGGATCACCGCTGCCAACGATCGAGTGGAGCAAAGATGGCCGACCTTTATCTGTAAACACTACAGTTCGCCAGACCAATAAAGAAACTATAGGCGAGTTGGTYATTGATTCGTTCATGCCTCAAGACCAAGGACGATACAAATGCTTTTTTAGAAACTACGAGAATGGAACGGCTGAAACTACAATACAAGTCTGTAAGTTTGGAGACCATCATGATGCATCATGATCTTAATAAGCCTTTTTTTCGTTCAAAGTGAACAACCGCTGCTTTAGCTGACAACAGTCTCTCGTGCGCAAAGACATTTTCCAAAAACAACAGAAAACACGAAAAAATGTTGTCATTACAATAGCCGTATAAATTTTCATTTTCTGCGATTCTCTATTAACAGAAGGTTCATTTTATTGCTGAGGCAAAGCCTCAAATCGGAGAACATTCAAATTACTAGAACTATTGCAATGCCAACATTTTTTCGTGCTTTCTTTTGTTCTCTACGCAAGTGATTCTCTTGTCTACTACAGCGGAGGCTCGCATTGAACTGGAAAAAGGCGTATTCAGCAATAGTACTACATTCATTGCCCAACCAATCAATAATGCCATCACTTGATAACAATGCATGAAATTCATTTACAATATAATAGTTGGTCGAGGTTTTAAGTGAAAAAAAGTAAAGAATGAAAGAATGAAAAGCATTCCTTCTGATGTCACATAAATCCAATATTCTTGGCTTGCACATGACGTCATCAGTCGAAAAAAAAAACCTAAAATCACAGACACACAACATTGTGGTACTGAAATATCTTGAAGAGCATGATAGAAGTTCGCTCTGAATGTTTAAACTTTGTTTACTGTTTATTCGTTGAGTTATTAGCGTTCAAAAATATGTTACGTTATACTGCCACGCGACTTGATACACGCCAAAAATACTCGAAAAGCCTATGAATCTTAAAACAATTATAGTTTCAGCATCAATTTAAATGTTTACAATGATATAGTTGTAAAGTTAAAGCAAAATCATTAGTTTTGAGCTCAATTCGATACTCGGAGTTACGGTCCGCCATTTAATTTGAAGTCCCTGACCGGGACACAATCATGGCGGCCCCATACATTTCTCTGTAAAGAAAGAACGTATTCAAACGCTTATATTTTTGCTAGGAAATCACAGTTTTGATTCACACTTTGCATAACTGTTGGGAGTTATATACTTTTTTGATCCTTAAACTTAAAAAATTAATTTGAATCTTAAAACAAAGCTTTTTGTAGGCATTTCTTGATCAGTCCAAAACGCATTGAGCCGTGTGCTAATCCCATACATTCTTACCAATTTTCGATCGCTCGTATTTCTGTTAAAATTCATTATTTCGGCTCTACATTTCGTCATGATCCTTATATTAAGATGTTCTTTCGAGAACATTAATAAAAGTTTGCTAATTCTGCCTCTAAATAGCTTTTTAGACTATCACGTGATCAGTGAAAGCCAAGAATTCACAGGGTAATTAACAAAAACCGTCACTACACAAAGACATAATGGACACAAAATATATGATTAGTTATTGAATTCCTTGAACTCTTATAGCCTTAATGAGCTGTGGTGATCCTGGAAAACCACTGAATTTTGGCTATCGCACTGGCAATGAGTTCTGGGCTGGAAATATGGTAGTTTATACTTGTGATCCTGGTTATTACTTGGTGGGACCATCCAACCGACTTTGTCTGGAAAATGGTGCATGGAGCAACTCCATTCCATCATGTAGGTTATTTTCTCTTTATTCTTACTTACTTGCACTAAAACGACATGGACATATAGGAGATATAGCAGATGTTGATTTTCTTATCACTAACTAGATATGATCGGCCTTACTTAGGACCTAAATTAAAGGTTCTCAATAAGTTATCACTTTTCTTGCTTGAAAGGTCGTCGTCTTTGTCCCGAGATCGTACCTCCTGAGAATGGATACATTGTAAGTGATGTCCTGGCCAACAGCACTCTCACTTTCCATTGTAAACCCGGTTACTGGGTCAGTGGAAATCGCAACTTGTTATGCGATCCCAACACAGGAAACTGGACAGATTGGAAAGGAAATTTTACTGCTGAAAAACCGCAGTGTAAAAGTAAGAAAATGATCGCTAATTTACTGTAAAAWTGCCATAAGAAAGTGCGTTTAATCATATACAGTTTACCTCAAATTATATTTTGCTTTCGGCTTCCCTTATGGTAGCCATAACAGGTAAATTAGGGCTGTCACCAGCATCTGTTGCATCTTCCGGAAGGTGTTTAAAAAAAAATCATATCTCGCGCGATTTAATAGGAAACCCGCCAAAAAAATTATACATTTTCTGAAAGATAAAATGACAAAGAATCCATATCTGGACGTATTTTTTGATAAAATTGATTCTCTTAAAAGATGTCAAGGACTTGTCGAGAACACAGTATCTCCTCCGCGCAAGAGATTCGATTTCAGTAAATTTGACGTAGAAAGATAATTTTTTTTTGGATCCTGTTACCAACGCCTTGTTCTGCAAAGGTGTTTCTGCGTTTGGCTTTTCAACGCTTCGGTATTTTTTTATTCGATTTTAAAGTTAGACTAGGCCCTGTTTTAGCGCATCCCTCAAAAACTGCTTATATATCTCGACAAAGAAAACTTAAAAAGACAAACGCAGAGACACCTCAAAACTACAGTAATGTCCAAATCGGCATACAAAATTTAAAGACATTGAATTTTAGTATTTTGTCGAAATCTACTTTTACGAAACATGAAGTTGAAGTTTAATAGGGTTAAAGAATTTTAAAATTGTTCGCGGACTGTGCAGATACACTTTTTCTAATTCGCTCAGCCTATTTTTTTAAAAAAATGAAAGATTTGACGAAAATAGTGAAAGGGGTAACCATAAACGGTGACTAAGATCGGCACTTATGTGCGATTGTGATTTTCGGACTACTTGAAAATGGGAAAAAACGACTTCTTGACTAAAAACTATTATGTCTGTAATGGCCATTATGATACACACTTCACATTCGAATTTTCTCACCTGTCTGCGATTTTCGATTGCAATCGTTGATAAATAGCGAATGTAGAAATTTCAGCATGTGAATTTCTTTCTTTCTGAGATTCATTACGTAGGTACAGACAGTGGAAACTGTAGGAAATCGATTTGATTTTTTATTTTAATTCCAATATTGTGATAATTGTTTGTGGGTTAATTTTCTATCAGGACATACACTGAATTCAAACATCCTAAAAAATCGAGAGGATTACTATGAATTAATGACAGAATGGCTGGCTCCAGTAACAGACATACCAATAAGATGGGTACCATGCTACCAAAGCAGACTTCACGGATGGGCCAGTAGCACATTCCACGCAAAATGCGATAACAAAGGCCCGACTATTACAATCATCAAAGTGAACAAATACATATTTGGAGGATATACAGACGTCAGCTGGCGTAAGTATTCCAGTTGCTGATCTTTGCTATATTCGGGGGTTAACACAGAACATCCATCACATTGGTACAGCTTTTTTATGCTCACAATAACGTATTATAATTGTTTTCTTTTTTAAAGATTCCAGAAATTCTTACAGCAAATCAGTGAACTCGTTCCTGTTTTCATTTGTAAACAAAGATAACTTGAGGCCATTTAAAATGAAAGTTTTCATATCGCAGTATGCAATTTATGGAGGTAGCAGCTACGGACCAACCTTTGGAGGCGGCCATAACATACATATTCACAATAATGCTGGTAGCAACACAAACTCCTATACGAGACTTGGATATAGCTATGTACTGATTAAGGGCTACACATACACATCAACTAAAGCAAGGAACCTTCTTGCTGGATCGTACCACTTTCAGCCAGACGAGATCGAAGTGTTTCGGCAAGATGGCTTAGAGGTTTAGGTGAAAGAAACTCTAACAAAACACAGGGATCCCACATCATATATCGATGCCGCTTTTAACACATACGATGTTTGCAGGAAATACACCTAATCGGCTAACGCGCTGCTATAAACGTCTCCACCCAATTCAAACCACCCGGGAGTAAGGTTTATTATTGTTCGTTGCGTTTTCATCAGTCACGGTAGAATTCTTAGAAACAAAAGTTCTTTTTCCCACAGGATTTGAATTGGGTGGTAACGTACATGGTAACGCGTAAGCCGATCAGGTCTACGCATTGCAGTTGTGATAGGTGGTCAATTTTCATATTGGTAGTAAATGTCCTTAGAGCGTTTATTTCTCTTGTTGAATTTCAAATTACATAGAAATAGCTAAGACTATTTTTTTATAGAAACGCACTATAACTTGACTGGCATCAGAACAAGTGCACATTTAGGCAAAATTTATGCGGCTGTGATAAATTTAGAGGCGGATCTCAATTCGGAACCATGCAAGGAAAATGTGACCAAAATTAAGAATTGAAATTGAAAAAAATGTGCCTAGAAGTAAGTTTTTCCCTTCCGTAAAGTTGTTAATTTCACAGTGAAAATAAAATACATTGAAAGTTAATACGAGTTTTTTTTTTAATGTAATTTGCTTTTATAGGATAATTATATGATAAAAACAGAATATTATATGGTCGCTTGGAGATACGGATCATATTTTCTCTGTTTTCTTGTGTTGAAAATTCGTCGCAATGTCACTCGTATAAGAGATTTTTTCAACACTCTAAGATCATAAAATCCGTATCATCGTGCGCTTACGTAATATCCTGTACTTTATCAAAATATATACTTGTATGAAGCTCCTACAGACTCTGTACTACTAATGAGGGCTGATATATTTAAGCAATAATAGTCAACTTTTGCCTTACGGACACCCCGCTACAACGGACACCCCGATATTGCGGACAGTAAAATACTGAATCACAGGCGAAAAATGCAAAGAAATGACTGAAAGTAACACTCCCGCTACTACGGACTCTCGCTACAGCGGACACTAAATTACGGTCCCGAGGGTGTCTGTAATGACGAGCGTTGACTGTATTAGATATCTTTTTGTTAAAATTTTGAAAAAAGTATTGAATTAAAAAGAAAACGAAATAAGAACGAATGTAAACTTAGCTATAAGTACTATATGACCAGTAATTGATACAAACACAAGTGAAGTCCAGTTCTAACGATTGGTTTTAGATATCTTCTTAGCGCTTACAAAAAAATCCGTTTCAAAATAAAATTCAATATTTTAATCTCTCTTAACTGTAATATTTAATAAGACTTTTCAGTACTAAATATGGAAAATATATATAAGGAGTTATAAGGAGTTTTTTTTAGTAGTTTTCTCATGTGTGTTGAATTGTTTTKAAGTTGAAGGTGTTTTTTATATGTTTTTTACGTTATAGATTACGGAGAACTTATAAATTGTGTTTAATTTATGTGTAAAAGTCCAAAGGCTTGTTCGCAGCTACGTTTCACAGTCGCCAGATGATCGACGGTTCAGAAAAACACAAATTCAGACTGAGCTTTGCAACGTTGGTTTGCGATACAAAGAATTCCGCTGTTATGTTATATCGCGGAAATGTTAAACTTCAGTGATAACACCGTACAAACAGCTCGTGCTATACTGAGAATATTACAATATTATCATGTTGTTACGTTGTGTGAGAGCGACACAGCCTGGTTCATAAGGGCGACCTGACGAGACCACCGACATAACGATATACCTGGAAGAAAAGTAAAGTTGTAGTTATTATTGGCTCTTTTTTTGTTCACATCAGAATCAAAATGACAGATCGAGAATTCAAAACAGTTGGATGTTGGTATATTTTTTTGTAATTACGGCAATATTTATTGTCATGTTATGTGGTCTGTGTGAATAATAGTCTTTAGAGTCATTTCTTATTTCAGAAAGGCTTTACAGAGCAAGTTACTTGATGTCTTGCTTCTTCATGATATTTATGCTGACACAGCCACCCCCGACTGCACTCATGTCGAACTAGTAAATATGATTTCGTACGCTACGCTAGGTCTTTTCTTTTCTTTCTTTTTTTTCAGATTCTTTCATAGTTCCTTTTTTTCATGCGATAATTYAATCCATATAAACATAACAATGTAATTTTTCCCTTTTTAAAAATAGTAAAAATATAAAAGTAAATACGCCATTTTGGAGGTCAACACTTCATTCATGTAACTCAAAAAAATAAAAAATAGATAAACTTGATCTTGATGTTCCGGAAACGTTGCAATTCGTGCAAAGTCGATCCAAAAACTATAGAGGGTTGTAAGCTTAAACAAGACGCTTGTCAGCGTGCACTCGGGGTTCTTTTTAGTGTAGTCTCTTGGTTTAATGATACATATAGAATATGTAGTTTYATTTATTYTTGCCGTGACCAAAAAATATAATAAATTCTCAGTCCAGTTGATAGCATAATAATTAAGACTTATATAATTTTGACTTGATAAATTTACCGCAATTATTGCAAAGAATAATAAATACTTTAATTATCAAATATAAAGTAAAACTAAAAACCTTCCTTGGATTGAAAATAGTAAAAAAAGAAAATGTATTAATATTATTATTGTTGACCAAGAGTTGTCCTTACTTTGACAGACATTTGGTCCCGGATTTGGTCTAACGCAAATGCCATTCGCTGATCCTTTGTTTGCAATCCTTCGTTATTTTACCTGTACAGTTTTGTTGACAATCGACACTTGAGTCTATTGTTCTTTTATAGTAGTTAGAGCTTTGAATATCAGTAGCTTTTAAGATAGAAGGCCTGTAGTTTATGATTGGCTTTGGTCGGCTTTGAATAGATTAAAATGGCTTGCGTATCATAACTTAAGTCACAATAAGCTTGATTTATTCGCGGTATTTTTCAAAAAGCCCATTCCGAAAACGGTCGACATCCTTTAGTGTGGCTATACCGCGTGTGGATTTGTGAGTGATTTGAGCGTATTTTTTGAGAAGAAGAAATACCATAAGCCCATCGACGAAGAAGCTGATGCAATTTGCACTTGAAGCATGGGACGAGACAAGACAGGCTAGGAACGCCTGGCTAGTCTGGCCGCGATTTGGCGATGAATGCGAAAAAAAAAAA